ACACCTTTTGTATCAAATGAATTGCTCTACAGATCTTTTGAAGTTTTTGGACCCATCGAGCGTGCAAACGTTGTGGTTGATGATCGTGGCAAATCTACCGGAGAAGGTATTATTGAATTTGCCAAAAAATCGTCGGCAAATGTGTGTCTACGTTTCTGCAGTGAGAAATGTTTCTTCCTCACCGCTTCTTTACGGCCATGTGTGGTTGAGCCGTTCGAAGTAAATGAAGACGATGATGGTTTGCCAGATAAATCACTAAATAAAAAATCGCCAGAATTCAATCATGAACGCAGTGTAGGGCCGAGATTCGCAGAAATAGGTTCATTCGAACATGAATATGGTACCAGATGGAAGCAATTGCATGAATTGTTTAAAACAAAGCAAGAAGCACTAAAACGAGAACTTAAAATGGAAGAAGAGAAACTCGAGGCCCAAATGGAATATGCTCGCTATGAGCACGAAACTGAATTGCTCAGACAAGGTAAGCCCCAATTCGTGGATTGAGGAGAAGCTATTATGTATTTAAATGCATTAAATAATTTATTTCGTTCTATATACAGAGTTGCGGAAACGCGAATCCGATAATGAACGCAAGAAGATGGAGTGGGAAATGCGTGAGAAACAGGCAGAAGAAATGCGCAAACGCGACGAAGAAAATATGCGTCGCCAACAAACTGAAATGCAGACACGAATGTTGCGTCAAGAAGAAGATATGCGCCGCCGTCAACAGGAAAACACATTGTTTATGCAAGCACAGCAACTGAACTCATTGCTTGACCAGCAAGAAGGCTTTGGCGGTAACAATAATGGAGGTAATAATTTCGACAACTTTGGTCGAGCATCCAACAATTCGCCATTTGAATTCAGAGGTAAAATGTCTGACTTTGAATGGAACGAATTTTACTAATAATTAACGTCAGATCCAATTTCTGCACTTTTAGGCGGCAATGCCGGTGGTGGTAATAGTGGCAACGGCACTGGCAATGGGCCTAATAATCCACAGGTACGTTCATTTTTCGATCTCTTCTTGCGATGAAGTTTCTAGGCAAACAAACTCAACAAACATGCTGCACTTAAGAAAAGTACAAACAAAGTTAAAAAAAAGATAGCTGCAAAGTGGGTCATACTTTTGCATCCTAAATGCTTTGCAGCGCTTTATACAAGTGATGACAATTATTGAATCAATCGTATTTCGAAATAGATTCACACCAAATTCAAATTCCACCTTTGTGGTGTTATATTTTATGCATTCTTTTAGTAAATGCGTTTCAAATTCGAAAAAAAAACTCGCTTTTGTAATGGCAATATTTTATATTTTTAATTTGTAAACCAAAAAAGATAATAATATAATGTGCCTGTTCTGAGGCGTTTTTAGGAAAAAAAA